GCCTGGGATCGTTAGGAACTGGACCAGTGTCCGAACCCCCGTCGCCAATGTGTGCTGCCTTCCCCATCTGGTCCAGCGCACATTGCCTGCTGTCCTCACCCGGAAGGACCTCATCCCTCTGAATTTCTGCTTCTCCTGGAATGGAGGCCATGAGTGGTCTCAACTCGTAGCTTGGTAAAGAAGCCTCTGGGGAAATTTCCAGAAATCTTGTTGCAACTAAACTGAGGGTATTTCCCAGAGGTGTCAGTCTGCCAGTCCAGATCCCATCCCAAGGTGAGGTTCCATGACAGCAACATCAGGATTATTGTTTGAAGCAGACAGGCGGAGGACAGACTTCACTGCAAGTACCCATCCTCTGACATCTCACCATTCAATGAAGAACATAAAAGCCATTCTGGACCAGAGAGAACATCTATTAAGCCCAGCATTCTGCCCCCACAGTAGCCAGCCAGAGGCCCACATGAGCCAAAAACCAGCACTGAAAGTCATTCTGCCGTACTGGAGGGATACAGCCCCATCTCATACATAGCATCTTAGAGCTTTTATTGCAGACTGGGGATAAAGATACTTTTTTCCCAATAGCAGAATGGGAAGGGAAGGGGATTGACTAGAAAGGGAGGGGAGAGGGCAGAACTTGCATTGATCACTTCCCGATTAGACTTCTGTAATGCACTCTATGTGGGGCTGTCCTTGAAGATGGTCCGGATACTTCAGTTGGTGCAAAACAGAGCTGCCAGGTTGCTGACGGGGACTGGGCATTGTTCTCATATAACCCCAGTCCTCCGTCAGCTTCACTGGCTCCCCTTTGAAGTCCGGGCCCAATTCAAGGTGCTGGTTATCACCTATAAAGCCCTTAATGGCTTGGGACCTGGTTATCTAAAGGAACACTTGAGTCCATATTTGCCCTCCCGCCCCTTTGGTGGCAGAGCCCCTTCTCCGGGAACCCTCCGTGAAAGATATTAGGAGGGTGAGTACCAGGAAGAGGGCCTTCTCTGCGTTGACGCCCCACTTATGGAATGCGCTCCCCAGAGAGGTCCGCCTGGCGCCGTCGTTATTTGTTTTTCAGACACAGGCCAAGAACATTTTATTTAAACATTATTTTAATGGTTGAATTTATTTATTGATTTTATATTTATGCCAGGATGTCTCCAGATTTTTATGTATTTGTATAGCTATTTATTTGTATTGGAAGCCGCTTCAAGGCTTTTGCGAATGGGGCGGCATATAAGTGTTCCAAATAAATAAAATAAATAAAACTTTATTGCCAGTTCTGCAGACAGGGCTGGTACAAACTCTCTCGTCACCTGAGGTGGAAAACAATGTCTCTGCCAACCTCCCGCTGTAGCCACCCCTAATCTTGCCATCCCCCCAATTTTCCCGTTGCATCCCACAGTCCTGTGCTGAAGCTCTACTCAGCCCCTGCTGCACCAACCCCCATCTTCCATTCCTCATAAATGGAGCAGTTGTCGTTAGGGATCTCTGGAGCACCAGCCCGCTCTGTGGTATTCCCTCAGCTACGCAGCCACAGCCGTCCACCCTGTGGCATCTGTGGGGAGGCCTCCAGGTGGGTCTGGGAATGTGATTTGCCAGTCTTTCCCCTTGTCATCTTAGAGGATTTCCACCACATCACACAAGGGCTGGCCCTGTTTGCAGGTCTTTTGCATCAGTGAAAGGGATGTGAATAGAAGTAAAACTTGACCCTGTTGAACTTATGCCTTAAAGCTCATTTTACCTTGTGGCCATGAGATTGGGATCTTCTTTTCCCATGAAAATTCATGTGCGTTTCCTCAAATGTGACCATTCATTGCTCTCAGGTTTGAAATATCTGCATGCTTCTCATACTGACTGAAGCATGTTTGCATGCATATCTCCACATACAGTTTTCAAATGCATGAATGCTGCCAAGCATTTCTTGTGGACTGTGAATCGGCATTGCAAGCTTGGAAGTGTATAGACTGCTATCACAGATTGCCTATGAGTCCATGGTTTGTCCAAAAGTTGTGAACAGGCTAATTCCTGAACTAAAAGGAACTGAAAATAATTTCTCATACATCCTTAAATACAGAGATTCCATCAGTAAACAGAAGTATAGTCACATTCTTTGGCTGCTAAATAATAAATGGAACAGAATCTTAAACTCTTTTACAGATGGAAATATCTGGTCCTTCTTCTAGAAAGAACAATGACCTCTGATAGGAGATGAAGGAAGAAAAGAGGAACTTGGGAACTTAGTACCAAGCGTATTCCATAGCACTACCATGCCAAGGAGTATATATTAAATAAATTGGATGGCACAGGAGAAAGGAAGCTATAGGCCCTTGCATTAGAGAGCACCTCAAGGAAGCTGATTTGGTGTGACATGAAAGGGCAGCAAGTTGTTAGTGATTCCATGTATCGTCGTCGTTCTCTTCATGCCAGGAAAGGGCGAGCTGGTTACAGGATGTTCTGGCTCATTTGACAAAATAACTTGGCCGGTCTTGGGCATTTTGACAGGGGCACTGGCTACTCGGCTCCAGGCAACAAGCATATGGGGCCAGTCCCTGGCTTCGCACAGTCTTTGCAGCTGAAGGTTCATGCCTGCAATCTGGCAAACTGGAAAACCCACCCAGCTCACAGGTTTGCCAGCAAATACAGTGAGTTATAGTCAGCCAGGAGCATCGATTTCCACCCCGGGTTGCAGTGTGGCAGAGGGCCCATTTCTTGGCACCAAGTGATAAAACGAAAAATATAAGGCTGCTATCTACATATTGGTAGCTGAAGATATTCTTACTGTGAATCCATTTTGTTAAGGTGAGATAAGAGACTTCAAGCCAAGTAGAATACTAATGGTATTTTGATTGTACTCTAATTTTTCAAATGTGCATTATTTAGCTGATAGCCCACGATAGCTGCTTTACATTTCAAACCTGTATGAACAAAGGGACCTTAAAAACTACACTGAATGGATATTAACAAGAGTATGGATTTATGATGGAGTTATAATAATGAATAAATGAGCAGGAAAAATAATAGGCAGTGAAAAGGATAACTATGCATGATGAGCTACTGCTTTTCAAACACTGTTAAGAGGTGTTCATTTATTTCTGTTAATCACACACAGACCTGGATCACATTGGAGCCTTACATCCACGAGGCTTTCAAGTCTAAAATCAAGCTTTTTCCCCCCTTAGCATTCTTGAGGAGTAAAAATACACCTGTACACTCAGATCAATCAAGGTTCATTTGTATAGCCTCATGCTGGAAAACACACTGAATTACAGAGCCATGCACATTTTAAAAAGTGTCCTCAAAGAGTAGACAAATGTATGAAAACAGATCTCACCGGAGCAATTTGTTAAAAGCTACAGAACATTAAACCAGGGACCGACGAAATTTCTTTACCCTTGAAGAACGAAAATTGGACTCAGCTCATTCCATACTTATAAATCCAACTGTAAATAGCTCAAACTTTGTTATGTTTTCTGCATGGATACCCACATAGGGACCTGTGCTTGGCAGCAGCAATTTGCAATGGACATACTGTGCATAAGGTCTTCCGATACTTAACAGCCTGTTTTTGTTTTAATGTTTTATAAGCCCAGTTTATGCCAACGCGAATCTTGTGGTGCAGATGGCTTGCTCAAGGAGCTGGAGGTCATTAGAGAAGTCACGTTAATGAGCATGAGCTCCTCCTGTTTTGGAAGCAGCCCCTGACAAACCATCCTGAGAAGATAAGGAGAGATTGGCTTGATTACTCTGGAGATCCAGCTCATCCACCAACCTTTTGGCAAACGGGGGGCCGCTGGGAAATGCAGAAGCAGGGCATGAAAACAACAGCTCCCTGCTGATGCACTTCCCTGCAGGTGCTATTCAAGCGCTTCCTGTACAAAGAGGTCACATTTAGCCACTATGAATGAGGGAGCGCTACAGCTCTCTTCTATGTGGAGAATTTAGAGCAGCCTCACTTTTCACATGGAGGAATTAAGAGCTGATCCACAAAAAGAAGGAAGTCACTTAGTAACTTATTGGGCATTGTGTTTCTGCTGATTGAGGCCATACTTCCCACACATGGAAGGCGCCATTGCACAAAATAGTGGGCCACATGCATTTGTATCCAAGTGGCTGCATTCTAAGAGGAAACCAGTGACACGACGGTGAGCGTTTCTTCCGTATTCATTTATTTGTCCTTTCCATTTCTATCTTAGCTTTTTCATGCAGTGGACCAAACACAGAGTTCAAATTCAAAAGAGAAATAATGCATCAGCAATAAGGTTAAAAGCATGGTAGATGTCCACTTAGGGATGCCATTATGTCTAGCCATTTACAGAAAACTCAAATGGCCTTGGTTGCCCTGAGTAGACATAAAATTGCTTCTTCAGTAGTTCTGGATAGCTACTTCATATTTCTCATAATGTTCAGGCACCTTCAAACAGCTGCTCTTGATTATATCTGGTCCAGCAGAAAGTATCTACTGGATCACATATGTGCCTACCTGGCCTCTAAGACTGATTTCAGAGGCTTTTCTGAAAGAGCCATCCTTCAAGGAGGTAAGGAAGATGGCTAATATAGTTGCACTGCACCTGTGGAATAGCCTCCTGAAAACAGTTCGCCTGATGCCCTTATTACAATCTTTTCTGCACTGGGCAAAAACAACTTTATTTTCAAGGTATTTTAATTATTGATTTTATCTGGATAAGGTTAGTAATATTATTGCCTTAATCTATACAGTTTTAAATTATTATCCCTCAGCTGTGTACAATTTTGTTTTATTGTTCATTGTTGCATGCTCTTATTGTTGTGATGTGTTTTTATCTCATTGTAATCCTCTAAGAGGGTATAAACCGCTGTGCTGCTGGGCTGGTTGGTCGAAAGGTCACCAGTTCGAATCTGCACAATGGGGTGAGTTCCCGTTGCTCCGTCCCAGCTTCTGCCAACCTTGCAGCTTGAAAGCATGCAAATGCAAGTAGATAAAAAGGTACCACTTCAGTGGGCATGTAACAGCATTCTGTGCACTTCGGTGTTTAGTCACGCCGGCCACATGACCACGGAGACTGTCTGCGAACAAACACTGGCTCCCTCGGCCAGGAAACGGGGATGAGCACCGCCCCCTAGAGCCAGGCATGACTGGACTTAATGTCAAGGGGACACCTTTACCTTTAATCCTCTAAGAGGGTCTTCAGACCAATATAGCAGAATATAAATTTAATAAATAAATGTTGCCAAGGCAGAAAAGAACTCTTTACACATATAGATCATTAGCATGCTGAAGTTCCTCTCTCCTTTGTTTTGTTCTTGTTTTCCTTTTTCTTTTGCATCAACCTGAGACAGCACCTAAGTGATCACAGTGAAGAGAACACATGATTTACTGGCCACTGTAGCAGCTACAGCATCATCTAAATCCCCATTGAGAAGGCTTCTGTGTTTTCTCATACAAGGCAGAAGCAGCAGTAATGGGGATACAGGAGAAATTAATTTCAGGGACCAAAGTGACTGACTTTGTACCTCCAGGAGCTGATGCATTCTGAGATTGAGGTCAATGTATTTCCAATGGGACCAGTGGAACAAAAGAGATGTTTTCAAAAAATGCATACATTTGTAAAATGCACATAAGAGACTTCACCCCTTTGAAAACTATGCAGAAACATACTTTAATATGTGCCTTTCAAAATGTCTGTGCATGTTTAGTAAAATCCCTATGAATATATGCATAGCTTTTTGTGGAAAATTGAAGAAGGCTTACTGTTTGACACAGACATGAGTCCAAATGTGCTTCAAGGTGGAACCTGAACAAGATCAAGTTTCAGACATCCCTAAGAACAGATATATGAAAAGTTTATGATGATCATGACCGCCCCCTAGAGTCAGGCATGACTGGACATAACATCAAGGGGAAACCTTTACCTTTACCTTTATGAGAGACTATTTTTGTGATATGGGGAGGGGGATTCCTCTGCCCAATGGATCACGTCGATTTCATGGAGGACTGACTTATATTCTATGCATGACCAGATTATTATTATTTGGCATTTATATCCCACCTTTTTTCCTCTTGTGAGGAACTCATAGCAGCTTACATAGCTCTACTTTATCCTCACAACTCTGAGGTAGGGTGAAGTGAAAGGCTGTGACTGGCCCAAGTCATCCAGTGTCATGGCTGAGGGTGGACTAGAACCCAGATCTCCCAGATCCCAGACTAGGGCTCACCACACTGTCTCTCAGTCAAGCTTTTATCCTGACTGAAGTCAAAGACTTGATGGTCTCTTCCTTCCATTCCACATACGGAAGAGCAGACCAAGAGAGGACTCCTTCTTCAGTACTGGGACATAACAGCACCCAGGTCTGCTCCTGAGGATGCTTGGAGGACCCAGGGCTAGTCAGGTGACACTCAACGCTTGCTATCCATCTTGAACACCAGCATCTGTCTCTTGAATCCACTGTTCAAAGGTCAATTTTTGAAGAAAGAAGTTGAACAAATCCGATTTTTGTAGTGTAGATTATCTTTAAGACCTCACACTGAAAGTACCATGAGCAATGAGACTATATAGCATCAGGCTTAGTGGAGGCAGCAGGATACAAGCAACATGTAGAAGTTAATAATGTTTCATCTCTGGGCTATCGAGATTTCTTCTTTTATTTTAGGCATAAGCCAGGAATTAATTTGGCTTGTTTATCTCCACAGTAAATAGGCAAACATATGTATTTAAAAATAATGAACATATGTGTTTAGAATGAAATGGAAGTGGGAGGATAAAGCAAGAGTATATAAAATGGCACTTACAGTGAGCGATCTACCTCATTATGTTTGCCAACCTTCAAAGTCTGGGACAATTTCCCATTCCTACACCCACTGGATAGATTCTAAAACAGTCTCTTTCAGCACAAACTCACCAAAGAAAGGCAAGCTCAGTACACAATGGGATAATCAATGACTACCAACAATGACAATACCTGTGGGCCACCAGTTATAGACCAGATGAGAACTGGAGCACTCCCTCTGTACCCCGGCCCCTTTGTAAAACCTATCTGCGGATGCACAAAGAGTTTGTAAACCAGCAAGATTACTAGAATGTTCCATCTAAACATGACATGTAATTTCATTGCACTTTCCTGATCTCTCCCCGAACATCTATTGTCAGGTTAAAAGTTGCAAAAAAGAACAAAGGTAGAAAGAAAGCCAAAAGGTTGTGTTTGTGAAGCCACCTTTGTTATGTTGATGGGATCATGTTAAAAGCTTGGCATTCAGCTCTGAGGCATCTCTGGAATGTATTAACTTGCAGCACAATAATAATAATAACAACAACATCTGTATTAAAAAAAAAAAACCCCACAAGGGTCTGAAAACAGCCTTTCTCAGCAGGCCTTCTGCCATTGTATAGCTGATTGCATGCTTAATTAGCCATGTCTATAGTTCTGAAATGGTGGCTTTTGCTGATTTGTGAGTCTTCACGCTTGGTGGTGATGCAGAGCGTAGTGTATATTCGCAGCATGGGCTGCTGAGTACCTACAGAAAGTTCTGCCCTAGAAATGCCTGAAGGACACATCCCATGTCATGATACTTCGTGTGTTAAGGGAATGAGTGGGCACACGAAGGCATGGTGAAGGATCAGCCGGGGTGGGCATCGAAACTGTTCTGCCTTGCTGTTGAATGCCAGAGCGAAGCGCTGTAATTTTCTTCCAATTATACTCTTAGTGCCATGATGTCACAGCATAAATTTGTACTTGTGCATGCAGCTCATGCTGGTGTGATGACAGCTCTTAAAATATTGAGTGATTGTGGGCCCGTCAGCATAAAATTATTCTAACATGGTGCCTTTATTAGTGCTTCAATAAATGCCATTCGTTTTGTGTTCCAAGGTGGCATTTGCAAATGAGCTAATTTCTCCACAGTAAAATAATTATGTTGCACTTATTTTGCAGGAATGAGGAAGGGAAGCAGGGGGTGGGGGAGGAAAAAGTGCTATTACATAAAAGAGGCTATTTTGCCATCAAAACTACATTCACTGTAGTTAGGTAAGTTGGAAAAAAGAGCACACTAGCTAAATGACTGTACAATTATGCAAATGAGTTTACTGCTTTATAAAGCCATCGTGGGGAATCAACACTTCTTTTCTGAAAGAAAAAAGCCAAATAAAGGTGACAGACCTTTTACCAAAAAAACCTCTGAAAGTCAAACAGAAACTGTTTGCTGATGGATGACAGATCTTTTGATGCTCACAATTCTTCTAACTACTGTGCTAAATGCTAAACTTCGTGTACACATACCTGTGAGCAAATTAGACCAAGGATGAAAACATTTATTTCATTTTTGCACGCTGTGCTAATTTTTCATTTTGTATATTGCTCCCATGACAGAATGTTCTTTTTTTAAAAAAATGGTTTAATCACTGCAACTTGAATGCAAGGATCACTCCAAGATATATACAACTTGTCACCCTGCCTGTCATTGACTCAGTATTATGATGGGAAAAACACAGTGGCTTTGGATTTTACAAAGCTAGTCCTGACCTTTGCTTGGAAAACATGGCCTGTTCATATCTTGGAAGTTCCAAGAGCCACTGTGCATAAGAAACATCTCATTGCACTGGATTCTGTCTATGATAGTTGCCATTAAGTTCTCACTGATGCCGGTGACCTAAGGTTGATTAATAGAATCCCATTGCTTTCAAAGTCTGGCCCATTTAGTCGGGATCCAACTGATAGGACTGAAGTGCTAGCACAAAACCTCAATCCCACTGCAGCATGACTTCTTAATGGGAAGGAGGGAAGCTTAAGCATTGGCTCTGTCTTGGCTCCTCATTTGGCTTTTCCTGGATACCAGCACAATCTCACAATCTCCTGTGGGCCAAGTGGCAAACCTGCCAACTTGATAATGATGTTGCGGCTTGTCTTACCATTCACGTAAGTCTTGGGATGATTGCCAATATCTGGATATCTATCCCTGACCTGCTGAGGGTATTTTGTTTCTCTTGCTACCTGTGATAGCATGAAGATGGAAGAGGGAAATGGAGTTTGGATTGGATCCCCAACAGATATAAAGGTGCAGCATCAGACGTGCACCAATTGTCTTCCACTTTACCTGTATGAACTTCCCCTTTGTTGGGGAATCCCTTAAGATGAACCGTTGGTACTTCCTCAGGTTATCACCATCTGAAGACAGGAAACACTGCTTTAAATGTGGGGTGCTCCTTTCTGTGAGAGGCCCCCAGATAATCTCACTTGTAAAGGAGCTGATGAGGTTGATGGAAACTGAGACCTAATCACATGTGCACAATAGGAATCTCTGCAAAATCTGCTCATGATGATCATCCAAAGGGGCCTATAAACTTATCCATATCCATCAGGGCTCTGTCAATACTGATATTATACGATCGCTCAGGGACTGGCTCTGGCCAACCAAACTACTTTGCTGCACTCTGGATCAGTTGCAGCTCCTAGACCATTAAAGCACACGCAAAGCATATTTCCTAGTAATAAAATATGAATTGCTGTATCATTATACCAAGTGCAGAACAGCCAAGTTCTGAGGAACTGGTATGGAGGTTCCCCATTTCAAACTCTGGTAGAACATGCACATACTGTTCTCTGGGACATGTGCTCCTCAGAAGGGTTGAGTATTTTTATTTCACTTTGACTCCAATTTAGCCTCCCCTGCCCTCCTCCTTTGGCAACACATGAGTAATGTTTGCAACACATGACCCATTTTAACATGAACAGGAGGAACCATTTGGGATGAACATAACCATGATGGGGTTACCTTGCACAACACTGTGCAGAGCTAACATATGAATTGAGCTTTCAACTGGAATCCAATGATCTAAGCCAGAGAAGGAATTTATACTTATTTAGTTCCACAGATCTGTCCTTTGTGCAATCAAGCTGCAATTTTGCTCTATCAGTAAAGCAGCAATGGCTCAAGGCACTGTATACTCTTTAAAAGGGCCTTTTTCATCATATAGACTCATGCCATTGTCTTTCCTCATAGGGATAAACATCGGGAAAAGTGGCATTAGAATATAAACAACACCCAGAAGGAGTTGTGTGTGTGTTTATTACTGCAAAAACACCAAAGATTCTTGTAACATCGTAAGGACTGACATGTTTATTATGGCATTAGCTTTAATAAATTTATTGCGACCTTAGCTGGAAAGAACAGATGTACATGAATTTAAGGTAGTTACTATCAGAGTAAAGGTGAAATCTTTCTAAGGAAGCTATAGCATTTAAAGCTATGGGGGGGACAGATCTCATTAATTTGGCATTGAGAAGGTATCAAGGGACATAACTTAAAGAAATACTAATCCAGTCGATACAACCCTGGAACTCTGGCCAATTCTAACAACCTCTTTAGAGCTTCATTTCTCAACACTTGCTACCAGTTTCACCAATCTGCATTAAAAGTGGCCAATATGAATTTCTTCCAAGGGGGAACATTCAGTTGGGAGCCAACAGAATTCTGTCCTTAAACAAAAGCCACATAAATACTAGGTTATGTGTCAGTTTCATTTCTATATGGCCCAGTATTCTGGAGAGTTCACAAAATGAAGCTTAGGCTGTGTGATATGAAAACATAATTAAGCATAATGCAAATGCTTAATATTTAAAACTACAAAAGAATAGAGCAAAAGTAAAAATAAAAACCAGCAGCAGAGCAATATCTAAAGAGCTCTAACGTTCCGATCCTGTAAAGTTGCCCATAACCCTCCAAACTCAGAGGGCATGTTATGTGTGGTGGGAGAAACAGGAAGACTAAGGTCACCTGCATGTTCTTTCCACTGTGCAAAACCCTCAGATGGCCAATTTTGGCCGTTCAAGTGTTTAACCTTGGAGCACAAGGTAAGGAGGCTGAGCCACTACCAGGGTCCTGCATGTTCTGGCAGAACCTGACAACTTCAGGAGTCTGTGCCCAGACCTT